CTCGTACGGGGTTTGCAGCGCATCAGAGCTAATGGTTAGCGCAAATTTCACAGCATCGTCGATGTTCGCAACGTTTCGGACTGGCGGGTCTTTCTGGTACCACTCTGTTAAAGGCAGTGATATACGGTTGCGAAACGTGGTCAGTGGCAGAGGTAAAAGAGCACACTACGGCGATGAAGAGCGAAGAATGCTTGTAGTGTCTGTTCGTGACCGTATAAGCAATCAGACTCGCAATCGTCAGATTAGCGGCGTACAGGATTTCATTGCAACCGTGAGGGAAAGTAAAATCCGGGGGGCAAGGCATGAAGAAGCGTAGTAGCATTGCGAAGAAAGTAAAATCTCGTCTTGCTGGTGAATAAGCGTAGTAGCATTTGCACGAAAGTAAGCGACCACTCGGGTGGCTCCCGAGGAGCTAGCTCAAACAGGCGGTGGATACTAACTGGAGATAAGCGGGCCAGAATCGAAAGACCTGGCATGGCTGGCACCGGCGCGCAGAGTAACATCACTAATATGGTATCCTGCCACTAAAATACGACAATCACATTGATTATCCGAGATATCTTGGTACAAAGCTGAAACTGTTCTCTGTGCGTGTGCGAGCTAAAGATTTCGAATTCAGCTGTCGCCTACGCTTGTGCAGCGCGTACGACCGCGTCAAAGTTGTTTGCCACTTGGTACTGTGCCAACTCTGTTCTTGGTACATTGCAATTATTTATCGTGGCTCTTCAGTTAGACATTTTATGTTGCAAGGACTGTTTGGCGTTGTTTCTATCAAAAAGTGCATTATGATAGTTTATTTTTTCTTCCAGGGTATCGCGGGGTAATGTCTGGGGAGAGGGCATCGCGGCCGGTTCCGCGCCAAAGAGTAACACCAGTGGCGGACAATGCGGTATGTTTGTTTTTTTTTTTGGACTCTTTGATCAACTGTAGCTTTGTTCGTAACGCACTTCACACTTTGACAACTTTTCTGTGGCCCATGCTCTACGTGTTTTTGGACTTAATTTTCTTCGAATTATTTTGTTGTATTGGATTATTATTATTGTTATTATCATTATTATCATTGTCACCATTATTACTATTATATCCATTATTATATCGTATTGCATATATATTTGTTGTTATATCATATTTGTTATTAGATCATATTTTCTTCCCTTCGTCATTTTTTAGGT